CAGGCGGGGTGGGTGTGGAGAAGCTTCTCTGCAGCGAGGCAGGGAGCTCCATTTCTGGGAAGGGAGACGAGACGCCATCCAACACAGACACACCCAAGGAGAGCCGTAAATGCATGTCCCTGCTGAGCCCCTAATCCCTGCAGCTGCCCGTCGCTTCCCACAGGCCCTGCAATGCATCCTCAGACACCGGCTGCTGCTCTCATCACCGCTGGGGCAGAGTGTGACTGCCCCAGGCTGCTCCTGCCCAGGTACTGCATTCTTGCCACTATTTTGATTTGAATGCTACAACCCAGCCCTGGTAGAGGGTTTCTGCCAATTCTACCACGAGAGGGAGGGAGGGAGGGATCTTCCTAGTTTCTTTATGGCAGCGTTCCCCAAACTACTGTCCTCCAGAAATGGGTTAGACTACAACTCCTATCATTCCAAGAATGGTGGTAACTGCAGTCTAATTCATCTTGATGGCACCAGACTGAGAAAGATTCCCTACAGCAAATGTGCAGAACAAGCACAATCCTTTAAATAAAAGGTTCTAGGCTTCTTGATTGAAAAGAGCTTTTGTGTTGGAAGGTGTTTGTTTGTTTTAAACAAGCAAATGAAGTATCAGAAGATTCCAATTAAGAGCAGTGGTGGTGAGATACAGAGGGCGGAAACCTTTCCATACTCTCAGAGGACTACCATAATATAAGGAGAGCTTCACTCTCATTTCTGAACCCTTATCAGCATCATTTTGCACCCACAATCACACTGTTTTCCCTTTCAAAGTCACATTCTCATAGAGCAAGATCTATGCACACAAATACGTTTCTGTTACAGCAGTGATTTATGCAAAGCAGAGCTGCACATTCAGTAGTCCAAAGCCAATTGAAATAGTCCAGCATATTTAAGAAGGTCCCCAAAGGTACAAGAGACATAAAGGCAGAACTGCAGGGTACAGGACACATGCCCAGATACACTGGACAGTCTTTTCCTCACCATGAGGCAGGAATGTTAATGTGGAGAGGAGACACTGCAGCTAGGCTGGGTGTGGCAAGTCTGGAAATGAATCTCAGTTGCAAGTCATTGGAGACTCCACACTTGGGAAGACGGGCTGAGAATAGCTATAGGAAATGCTCTGCTATTATTACCGAGTTGAATTACGAAGACCTCAAAGAATCTAAGTGAACCTTTTCTCAATCTGAAACCGCAAGATGCAGGCAGCTCCACGAAAGGGTAGGCCAGCTTGTTGGTCAACCAGAAATCTAATCCTACTGCTTTTTGGAAATGAAGCTCTTTCTTTGCTCAGCCATTTGCCATTTAGGTTCTACAGTTAAAGACCAAGAAGGCAGGTTCATGCAAACAGGTGGCAGACATACTTCTTCTGAAGAAAGAATGTAAGCTTGTTAGATGTTTAACAAATACTGCCATCCTGAGAAATTGCCCCCTTTTAAAAAGTACAAATATCTGAGTTGGTTGCTGACCATGTCATAATGTAATGTGGAGCGGGGGTGGGCAACTTTGCCCTACAGCTCCCATCAGCCCTGGCTAGGATGGCCAAGGGTTAGAGGTGATGGAAATCATAGGTCAAAACATCTGAAGGGTCACAAACTGACCATCTCTCCTATATAGCATGCTTTATTTTAAAGCTGTTGTTGTTTGCACTGCAGAGTATCCCATTCAGTATTATGTGAAGTACTTTCAAGAAAAATTTTAACATCCACAGCCTCAAAAATGCATAAATTCTTAGTTTATGCCTTCCATTTCTCTGCAGCTTTCCACCTGCACAAGATGGGACCTGAAGCCTTCATCTCTTTCGCATCAACACCCGCATTATTCCACACCCATAGCAAATGGGAAATAAGTTATGGAGAAGGGCACTGAGGCTCATCTCCCTCCATCTATCGCATCACTTGTGCACAGAAAAGAAAATGGTAATTGCAGAACAGAATGCTGGGGGTACAGCCAAGCCTCATGGGGGAACTGGGACACTAAAAGCAGGTGACCACACAAGTTTGATGTGTTGTACTTTTGGCTGCTGCTCGCACAGAGAAGAAAAGATTCAAGCAAGGTGCTCTGCTTTCACTCAGGTCAGCAAACTGGCTGGTTTACTTACAAAAACAAGAGAGATCATATTAAGCTGAAATACACTTATGCAGGCAGGCAGGCAGGCAGATGCACACGAGCCTGGAAAGCATGAGTCATGCTGATTGCCAATGTTTATTTTCAATTGAAGACAGCTGTTCTGTGTCCTCAGCAAAGTAGTGGCTCTTAACTAAAACACAGGTCTCTACCTAAGGCCCCAGAGCACCTGAAGGATTGTGTATGCAAAGTTTTAGGTAGGTATAGGAGATAATTTGAGGCAGGAGATACCTTCTCTTCCTGACCAGCCAAGTTCTGGACAGACTCAAGTCCCTGGATGTGTACCCTCACTGAATCATGCTGCATTTGTGGAGCTCACTGTGCTTTTACTATCCACATCTTCCTGATGTTACTTTGGAAGAGACCTGAACCAATAGGTTTAAAACTACAGGGAGGAGGATTTGGACATCAGGAAGAACTTCCTGGCAGAACAGGTTGTTTTGCACTGGAAGATGGTGGTCTTTCCTTCATTATGAGGCTGTAGGTAAAGGATGGATGGCCACCTATTGGAGATACTGTAACCAAAGAAAGCCTGCATTGGTAGGGGTTGGGTCAGATGATCCCCGAGATCCCTTCCGGCCCTACTATACTATGAGTTTAGAGTTTTTAGTAGTGTATTCTGCAGTGATCTTTAATATGGCTTTATACTGGTGATAATGGTTTCATTCTTCGCAGCTAGTTTTAGCTTGGTTTTGTTCTGCACTGTACTGCATGTTTAGCATATTGTTCCTGAGAGAAACTTTCTCATGCTCAGAGAAAGCTGGTTATCGAGCACTTACAAAGTACACCAAATCAATAGGAAAATAAATAAACATGGAGATCAGAAGATGCTGCGGCTTTGTTCTTCTGTTTCCTTCTGGGTATAAATTTCTCTCCTAAAGCCAGTGTGGGGTTTATGACCCCAATTCACACATTATATACACACCACTGTATGCAAATACAATTAGGGAACCAGTGGATGGAGATGGTTTGCTCTTCCCTCACATCCACTGGCCCAAAATATTTGAGAAAAGAGGCTTCTCTTTTTTGACCCAGTTCTTCCTGATGTTCTTTGGTTCAACAGTATTGCAGCATATAGTTTATTTGTGGAGGGTGTGTTGAGGCAAGACCTGGCCAGCAAAATTATAAAATATTGATTGATTGATTTCTTTATTAAGTATTTTAACCTGCATTTCAGCCAAAAAGGCTTACATGGTATTAGTAAAACTAGACAATCTCTGCTCCATAAGCTTATAATATAAAAAAGGCATGACACACAAGGAACACAATGGGAAGGGAAGAGGAACAACAACAACAAAAAAAAGCTATGGTCTTTCAACCGAGCTACTGGAAAGACCCTGCTAGCCATCTCATCTCTCTCTAGCTACTGTGCCTGTAATGTCTTGCTTGCAAATCCACACTAGGGACAAAGCAAATAAGCATTTCACAGTACAGGGAAAGCACAGGCCGTTAATTCATACTGCAAACTGAGGAAACATAGAAACATAGAAACAGAGCAAGTCAGAAGGGATCTCCCGGGCCATCTAGTCTGACCTCCGGCAGCAGCCAGCTCCACTCACGACATGCCCACCATGTGGACATCCAGCCTATCCTTGAACACACTTGAACAGGAAGAAGAGGAGATGACAGAAAGTTTGTCAAGGATGTGTTTGACTCTGGCATTCCCACTGACAAGTCTGCTGCCAAGTTATCAAGAAAAACTGAAAAGTTTAAAATTCTATTATAGCTCATTTATGACTTAAATTGACAAGTACTACAAGAATACAGACATCTTATCAGATTCTGGGCTTTGAAATGTGGACTCAGGACAATATTGTGCTTACAATTTAGCACATACAGCATGATGGGACCATAGCTCTAAAAAGTATCAGAAGATTGCTTGCATTGAGCATTTTCTCTAACCAAAACACTGTTGCGGATTACTTCACCAACAACTGATGTTGAAAAAGAAGAAATCAAAAATATATACAGATGAGCAAAAGAAAATTTGTAACACACCAAAGCAAGACATGCTGAAAATCATAGGTGGCTAGAATACTAAGGTAGGAAACTTTCCTATGAATGCTAAGATTGTTACTGGGTATCATGCCAGAAGTATGATTATGTTAGCAAAGATTATGGTAGTGTTAATTAAATATATGATAACAGTGGCAGGAGTAACAACTGCTTCAAAGTGGGAAGCTGAAGACTGTCCAACTGTCGAAGATTAGAAAAACAAGCTAGCTGAGTGTGCAACAACGGAGAAACTAACCAATTATATTTACAGAAGACCAGCTAAAGAATTCATTGAAAGATGGAAAGCTTATTATATGCAATTTAACTAATGCTAAAGAAAAAAGAATTCTTACAAATGTCAGTGATTTTTACTTTAATATAAGCTATGATATAATTCACAATTAGTTTCATAAACTAGATTAGATTAAGAATTAAATGATTTAAATGTGACCATAGCAGACAGAAACTTTTGCCTCTTTATGAATATGTTCAAATACTAAAGTTACATGCTATATTTATGGAATATCCTTTGGCATCCTTTCCCCCCATATATTTTCTTTCTTCTTTTCTAATTTTACTTTGTGAAAATATTTTTTTAAAGAGTTGAGCAGGGCTATGAAGGACAGAACATTTTGGAGGGCTTTCATTTATAGGGTTGCCACTAATTGGAGACAACCTGAATGCTCATAACAAAAACAGCAATATTCCAAAGGCCTGATGAGGATCGGCAGTGAAATTTTGTACTTTTATAAAGAAGTGTCCAAAACACTGCTCAGTGGAGGCTTTCCCCCTTTACTACTCACCACAAGCCAAAGTAGCACACATAGTTGCATGATCACCAGAATATAATTGCGCACAGTAACCTCCCACCATGCTTTTTTTTTGCTTACCAACATAGAATGTGGTAGGAGCCTGCTGATCATCTAGTTTTGATCCCAAGATAGCTGAGGTCTGTGTGTCATGACGAAGCCATAATGCCACACCTAGAATTATTCCTCCTGCCAGCTGGAAGAAAAAAAGAAAGGGGGAGATTAATACGATTCTGATCCCTTCAAATGAACAAAACAGTAATTCGCACCACAAATGCTTTATTAAAATATCCCGAGATTCATTAAGCACCTGAATGTATTTGGCCAGTGCATATGAGGTAGTCAGAGGTGCAATCCTATGCAAGCTGAGATAGAAAACGACCTACAAGCCCCAGCCAACTATGCTGATTGGGGTATACTGGGATTTGCAGGTCATGTTTCTGTCTAAACTTGCACAAGACTGTATCCTAAGTTACCTTCCCCAACCTGAAGCCCTCCAGATGTTTTGGACTCCCATTTCCATCAGTCCTGGTCAGCAAGGCCATTCAACTGGGATGAGGGAAACTGCAATCAAACACATTTGGCGGGTACCAGATTCGGGAAGACTGGACTAATTGATAAGAGATAACTAGTTTAAACTAATCCAGATAGGCAGGGGAAATATACGAAGAGTTCCAAAGTCCATTTTTATGTTCATGGTTCCATCTGTTGGAGGCTAATTTAGCATGTGTTACAATGACAAGCAAGTAGAGTCCACCACATTTCTAATGCTATAACTACAGTTAGGGATCTCCGCATACAGATATGTTAGAAAACTTTAGAATAGGGGCAAAATGTTATACTGAGTAAAGGATTCTGTTTCTAACAAATGTGAACTGATTAACCTTTTAAAGAAAATGTCTCTCTGTTCATTGCAAAGTTAGGGAAGTGATAATAAGGTGTGATTTATAAAGTCTACAGACCAACCCTCTCCTCTGCCATGAACTCCCTAGGTGGCTTTAGGCAAACCAGCTTTTTCTGCCTCAGTCCCAGAACACCAGCAATTTGGGGATAACAACACTGACCTACAGGACCACTGAGGTAACTCGGGGTCTACAGTAAAGCAAGGCCTTGAGATTCTGCTCCTTCCACAGTCTCCCTGAAAGTCCTCTCTTGATAATGTAGCATAGTTATGTATAAAGAATATTGATGTAATACATTATTTATAATGCTTTAAGTCTATATAATTTCCATAAGTTGTAGCATATATGTTAATTAATGGTGATGTACATTAATAACCATGATTTACAGTACACTAGATAATCAAGCTTACTTTAATGGAATGCAAAAGGACTACCTTACAATCTCAGATAATTACAAAGCACCAATAAATGTTATCTATGAATCCTGATCACTATGGTTAATAGCAGCAACCTCAAAGATTCATGTGGTACAAACAAAACATCCTTTATTATGTAAAGAATGAATCACATATAACTTACAACAGGTAGCCTGCTTGAATGACTTCTTCCTAACATTCATTTTAGTGAAATTGCATCAACAAAAGAGAGGTCTGTTTCTCTTCTCTTTACCTTTATTAAAGAAAGCATTCATATAGCAGGTATTAAAGAGGCAGCTAGACAGCTACCTGTCTGGGATGCTTTAACTTGGAATCCTGTATTAAGCAGAGGGCTGGACTCGATGGCTTTAAAGGCCCCTCTCAACTCCATACTTCTATGATTCTGTGAAATCATACTATACATGATTAATGTAAATCAACATCCTCTTCTCTCCTCTGTTTTGGAAGTGCACTTGCTCTTTCTTGGTGATTTGCAAGCTGCCACTCTTGTTGCTTGTCTCAATTTTACTGCCCTTTGTCCTACAGTTCTGGTAGGGTTGGAAAAAATACTGTCTTAAACCCTGGACAGCCACAGCCAGTCCATGTTGACAATAGTGGACTATGGTCTGACTCAGTACAGGGCAGCTTCCTAGAGGTTACACTCCCTTGAAGACTCAAGCGTGCCAGGATGCTCAGATCTTGGTGGCATCCAGGAATGAATTTTTACAGGTAAGACTAATGAATTAACTGGAAAGCTCAGTTCTGGCCACAACAACACATGTCTTAGTTACATCCTGTTTGGACCACTGTAACATGGATCAGCCTTTCAAAGTGTTCAGAAAATGTGACTGGTTCAGTCTGGAACCAAGCATGGTTTCTCATACAAGCATGTTCAGGTTTTATGATCCTATGCTCTGTTCCACTACTATCAGAGACACATTTGGCAAGAGAATGAGAGAGAACCTACTCTGTGATTACTCCCACACTGTGAAGCTCCCTGTCAAAGAAGGCCAGGTTCGCACCATGTCTGTTGCCCTTCTGCTAGTAGGCAAAGCCTGCTAAAAGAAACCAAATGCATTGCTTTGAGATAGGGAACACTGGGCTCATATATAATGAAAGTGAGAAGGATCTTGGAATTGTTGCAGATCACAAGCTGAATTATGAGTCAACAATATGAAGTGGCTGCAAAAAGGGCAAATGCTATTTTAGGCTGCATCAATAAAAGTGTCACTTTCAGATCAAGTGAAGCACTGCTTCTTTACTCAGCACTGGTTGGGCCTCATCTAGAGTGTATGTCCAGTTCTAAGTACCACAGTTTAAGAAAGATGCAGAAGAATTGGAAAGGATTCAGAGGAGGGCAACAAGGATGATCCAGGGACTAAAAGCCCATGAGGAGAGGTTGAAAGAACTGGGCATGTTTAGCTTCGAGAAGAGAAGACTGAGTGGGGGATATGATAGTACTCTACAAGTACCTGAAAGGATGTCACAAAAGGGAAGGACAAGTTCTCTTCTTGCTGATACCAGAGTGTAGGTCATGGAAAAGAAACTCAAGTTGCAACGAACCAGATTTAGGGTAGATATCAGGGGAAAAAATTCCTGTCAGAGCAATACGACAGTTGAACCAGTTGCCTAGAGAGGTTGTGGGCTCTCCTACACTAGAGGCACTCGATGAAACTGGACAGTTAACGTGAGTGGGATGGTATAATCTGGTGTGCTGCACAAGCAGGGGGTCGAGCTTGATGGCCTTCTTGGCCCCTTCCAATTCAAGTATTCCCTGAGTCTATGATTCTATGAAAACCATTTTTATTCAGAATAAACCTTAGCTGCTGTGGAAGTGGTCTTTAATCTAGTGGTGCTGTTACTTCTCTCTTATGGATGCATTTTTATTTTAATTCATGGAGCTGAACATTTTAATCTTTATTATTTTCTCTTTATTTTAGCCACTCTGAACACTATTTTTAATGGACAGGTGGGATATGACAATATTCAAAGGATTCAGACAATATTTGAAGTATTCAAGCAATATTTCATAATATAAAGGTTATTAAAATGTGGGCAATAAATACAATTCTGTTCACTCCCATCATTCCATATACTTCCTTACAGCTCCCCTTGGGGGTCAAATTACATGTTACTCTATAGTACAGCCTTCTCCAACCTTGTGCCTTCCAGACACCTTTGGACTGCAACACCCAGAATTCCCAGTCAGTGGCCTTGTTGGATGGGAATTCTGGGAGTTGTGGTCCAAATGCCTCTGAAGACCACCAGCTTGGGGAAGGTTGATATAGTATATTGCATATTTTGGTCTCTTTGAGTCCTCCTTCCTGCTTCTCCTTCCCCATGATTTATGCATTTGTGGAATAGCTTGTCCATAATGTTACCCCACAGACTGTACTCCAAAGGCAGTCAGTCCACTCTGAGGAGACAGTGATGAGGATGCCTAGCAGCCAGTCAAGTGCTTCCTTTTTCCATATATTAAAAATAAGGCAGAAGCTTCCACCTGCACAGAATATGTGAATCGCCACTGGCTGGCCCATTCTTCGTTCCTCTGCTAGAACACAGCCTGGACAGGGGGAGAAGAGGCACTCTGAGGTCTTTTCAGGGAAGGGAAGTAAGTTGTGTGTTAGTTTGTGTCTGTATGAGAGAAAGAACAAACACAAAGGATTCTTTTTTTCCTTTGTAGTCTGCTAACTGAAGTTGTGTGTATCCTGGATTGTAATTTACTGATAAATGTGCGAGAAAGAAGCAGCACCTTGGAGAGAACAGGTTCTCATCTGGTTTGCTTTTCCCCTTATTTTTTAAGCAAAATTAGCACACTTCTTGAGGAGGAGGAGGAGGAGAGGGCTTTCTCCGTTATGTTCTGTTCTGTGCATGTGTCCCCCCAACTGTAACCCACTATGGATTAGACATGACTGGAAATATTTCTGCACCGGCCAACACAGTCAAGAACAAAATATTTTAATATGCTTCTTGGAATGTCCTCACTGTTCAGTTTAACCCTTCCTCACTTTTTTTGATCTCTCTCCCCACTTTGTCCTCTCAATCTTTCCCCCCTCTGCTTACCTTTTGCCAATAACACCCCCCCACACACACACACAGTGCTTTTAGCCAAGACCTTACATTTCATGTGAATTTCAAACAGTATAGTTTGTCCTGAGATGATTACAACAGCTACTACAACTCTGCTCAGTACAGCACATGCCAGAACTCTGCATTTTCAAGCTCCACCCCATCGCTATATGTTTGACAAGTATATTAAACAATGCCCAGAAATATTGATGAGTTGAGAATTAGACCCCCTCCTGAAGCATTAAGTAAACATCTGGCATTGCCACAGTAGTTGTGACTCCCACTTTAGCATCAGGCAAATAGGAGAACAGCCTAGAGCTTCTCATAAAATCCAAAAGGAACGCTAAACACAGGCATGGGCTGGAATTTTGCTTTTTCCGCTCAGACTTAGCAAGAATTTTAACAAATTGGAAACACACTGCGTTGGCCCTGATCTTCAGTGGAGTGTTTTTTCCAACTGTTATTCCAAGCGCCCAATTCTGCTTTCCATGTCACAGAATAAGGCCTCAACTCTCTCTCCACACTTTTAAAGTAACAGGGAGACGTTTAGTAAAGATGGGTGGAAAGGGTGGACAGACAATATCTGCATGATAATAGTTAAACTTTCTTAAGCTGACATTATCAAAATGTCAGTCTCTCCCAAAAAGGGAAAATTATATTCTCTAACATGAGATATACTTAATTTATACACAACTTTATAAAAGCTACATCCAATAACTACAAAAAACCTCATTAATCCAAGAAGTTACTCCTGTCATATATGATCTAATTTATATTATACTGCTTTATGCAAAGGCTCCCATGTGTCC